GAATTCGTGCGCGGGGTGCAACGCCTCGCGGAGGGGATCCCGCGTTTCCATCGGATCGCGCGCCGACGTTGAACCATCGCCGCCGCGGCCTCACGAGGAAAACGCGACGAAGCAAAACACGAAGACGAAGAAGCGGAAGAGGAAGAAACGGAAGAGGAGGGGGGGGAGGGCGTGAAATCCTCCTGACGAGAATCCACCGATTCGCGACCGCCCGCCGCCAACACCGCGGCGTCGAGAAGGGCGGCGACAACCCCCCCTTCCACCTGACGACGCCCCGCGATTGAAAGCGAAGAGGCGGCGGAAGAAGAAGAAGAAGAAGGAGGGAGGGGAGGAAAAGAGGAGGAGGAGGAAATCCGACGAGGGGATCGACATCGCCGCGCGTGGAGGAGGGCGTCGAGGCGCTGCCGCCAACGCTCCTCCATGGCGAGAGGGGGGGAGTCCTGGAGGGCGGTCATCCCCTGAGGAACCCCTTCACGATTTCCGGATGATTTTTTCTCTTCCTCTCGCGAAAGAAGATTCATCAAAGAAGGAAGGGGGGATTCCTTCCTTACGCGATTGGTTTTCTCCCCTCTATGGGAAGGAATAGGGGGGGCGCGTGTGTTCGGACGGCTTTTCCGCCACCTCGGAAAGGAAGGAACCCCCCGCGAAAGCCTCCCCTCCTCCCGCCTCGGCCGCATTTAACGAAGATGATTCCGAATTCACCACGGAAAGGAGCTCAGTGGAGGAAATCCCCCCTCCACGACAGGCATTTTCAACGAAGTGGGAAGAAGTCGTGGCTGCATCGCGTGCAGCGCCCGCCACTGCCCGCGCGAAACCAAAAACGGGAAGACGGCGTCGTAGGGAAGGGCGGTGAGATCCGTTCCGCTTCGAATACAGGCCTCAAGCCCTGCCAAACACCCCCGCCAATTCCCCGACTGGATTTGGCGATGGAAGTACTCGGAAACACGTCGGTTGAAAAGCGTACTCATAACAGACGGACGAGAACAAAGAACGTACTAATTCTGCCGCACAATGAGAGTAAACTCAATTGATGATCGAAATACGTTTATTAGGTGTTGCTTTTTGATGAGGCAACGATAAAAAATAACTAACAAGTCAAGAGAGCTACTTATTTTTTTTCTCGAAATAGTAATAGTAGTAGTAATAATAAGCGATATGCCTATTTGATATTGTACTAGTATCCCTTTATTGAAGCCCAAGCACACCACCCCTCCTTGTCCTTATCCTACGGTGCGATATTGGTGCTCAGCATATACTTGAGAATCGTAACAACCAAAAGGGAGGAAAAAGAAAGAATATAACGAATCTTGATTCACCATCCTGGCGGATCATACGTTTGGTGCAAATCCAGAAAGCCCTAATATGGTGTGTGTTTTGGAGATTCTCTCATTTATGCGTAAGATTACGGAAGATTCACCAAAGCATCTTGAAAAAAAAGGAGCCCACAACATCAGCAGAGGTACGAAATCATGAGAAAAAAGAAAAGTTATTGCTCCTTCTATTTAGCGCCCAATCAAGTATCGCTTATACTCATGAACCTAATGCTAGTGTGGGGTTACCAGAGTCCGCCTTCGTTGTACGATGTGTTTAACTTCTTTTTTTTGTTCTGCTTTAGATTGCACTTAAACCATTCAAGTTCAACCCCCCATGGCCTGAAGTGCCTCCTTGTCACGCTTTTCACGACTTTCCATAATCAACTTCATCACTTCAAAGTTTCGTGCAACACATTTTCGCGCGCACGCGTCCATTTTGGTAATCTTTGAGTCTAGAATTTCACCAGATACGAGTTCCTCACGACTTAGATTGCGATCATAGCAGATATCCCAACACTGCTCTAATGTCATGTTTGAAAACTCCATTTTGCAAAACTGCTCAATCGCCCGTGCAGCCACCATTTGAGCCTGCATCGCTTATATTATTAGATGATTAAATGGGTTGGAGTTTAATATACTAAGACAGCGTATTTGTCAATGGTGACTAAAAATATTTATTTAATCTTAAAAACAAAGAGAGGAAGAAAGAAATTTTCAATAATGCAAAGAAAAAAAGAAGCTAACAATGCAAAAATTGCGTTGTATTTACAATTTTCTTTATTAGACTTCTTTTGTTCCCCGTTGGTCCCCTCTTTTAGACACTTTGTGCAGCCTGAAATAAAGAAGGGCAGATAAATCACTTTATTTTTTCCTTCTCCTTCAGTATAAAGTAGTGTTTTGCAAAAGAAAAAATTAAACGAGATATGTGACCATCTCCTTATGGACCCTATAATATATCGTTCTGTTGGATTGGTCACCAAAGAGAAACTTTAAATATCCCAAGTCTCTCTGAGTTAGCAAGATGTGGAGGGTTGTGTCCTTGCCTCCATATTTTTCTTCAGGCTCAAGGAAGGAGTTCATAATAGCAGGCAGTTACGTTGATACTACCAGCACACCGAGGCCTGAAGCAGAAGATTGAATTAAGCGAGTTCAAGTCAGGTTGGTAGAAAAGAAACGAATCCGATATGGAAATGGGAAAAAGGAGATATTTTATCGTCAAATGAAAAAGGTTGATCACCGAAAAATTTCTACCAGCGATTTGCTTTCCTTTAGCTGCATATGCAAGTACGCCGAAAGGAGTGAGGTAAGCGGCAGGAATCGGAAACTCTTTTCCTGAAGATCCCATAATAGACCTTCGAATACTCTTTAGAGAGACAGAGAGAAACGAAAGATGACCTAAGGATTATTTTTCGTTATTTGTACTCTTCACTGATTTACATTTGAAGCCATAATGATGATAATAAGAAGTAGTGTGTTGTGGCACCCCTCGGATATCCTTTCTTGATTGTTTTCCTTCTCAAAACGGGTAAAAAAAGAGTTGAGCGAGACAAAGTATCAGACTCAAATTGCGATAGATATAGTACTTAAGGTTCATTAAGAGATTTCAGACCTGCCATGCATCCTCATCGCTATGGGATGAAAGTGTACACTATTCCGATTAGCTATTTAGTAAACTCGACACATGCGCTTATTAACCTTTATTCATTTTCTTCCTTAAATTCCACGTAGGGCACATAAACTAAAAAGATAAAAATATATGAATATCTTAATAAAATACTAATAAGTTTTACTTATAAGGAAGAGGGCAAAATAATACGTATGTGTGGAAATGCCAATGATAAAAATGGCGTGGAAAGTTTCTTGTAGAATGTAGATAAGCATAGTACACGAAAACAACTTCGAGTAAGCAGCAACAACAAAGCGTAAGCGAAGTGATATTGCAAAGGTTACAAAAAAGCTAAAAATTTAAAAATAGTGTGATCAAATCAAATACCGTCCCACTAAGCACTGATGGACTAAAGATTCAAATATTTGCTTTTATATATATATTCGTACTTTTTCTTTCTTATTAAACAGGAAAAATAATCATAATAATTCTCTCCCCTATGCATGCCCCCTCCTATTTTCCTAACATGCTATTGCATCGTTTTTATATGTGAATGGGTCCTTTTAATTACTCGGCTTGGCTCATCGCGCGCTCGTAGGCCTGATCGACGTACTCCCAATTCACGATCCCCCAAAGCTCGTTTACGTAATCCGGCCGGCGGTTCTCAAAGTCTTTGTAGTAGGCGTGCTCCCAGACGTCAATTGTGAAAATCGGGCGCGGGCCTTTCGTGATCGGGCACTCCGCGTTGCTTGTGTTTAAAATTACCAGCTCCTTGGACGAGGGATCCACGCAAAGCCACGTCCACCCCGAGCCGAAGTTGTTCACCGCGGAGGTCTGCATCTCCTGTTTAAACTTCTCTATGTTGCCAAACTGCTTGCAAAGGACCTCCTCCAGCCGCTTCGGCATCGGTTTACCACCGGGAAAGAGGCAATTCCAGTAAAAACTGTGATTAAAGTGCTGCGCGGCCTGGTTGAACATCACCTTCTTGTCGACCTTGCCGTTCGTGGAGTGGATGATCGCCTCAATCGTTTTTCCTTCCTCGCCTTTGCCGAGGCTGTTGAGTTTATCCACATATGCCTTGTGGTGCTTGGTGTAGTGGAGCTCCATCTGTCGGGGCGAGATGACGGGTTTGATGCCTTCTTTATAGTCAAACGCCAACTTCGGCAGCTCCGCAGGGTAGGTGAGGGCTGGAATGGTCGTGAAACATCGCACGCCGTGGCTGCAGACCCCACGCGCCGCGAAAACACGTGTGATGGGAACCCGGTACATTGCTCCTGGTTCTTCTGTGATCGAAATGAAAAGTTAGCTTCCTGGGTGAAAAGTAAAAGAAAGAACAAAAAAAGTAGACCAAACTACTCTCACAATATACACGTAACTGTGTGACTGCGTACTAGGTATGAAAAATGGCTAACAAGTGTATCGAATTCAACACCAACATGAAACGTCCGAAGTAAAATAAGAAAAAGGATGTAGAAGCAACAAAATGCTTTATGATAGCGTGTATGCACATACCATCGGAAGAGAGTGTATTGCGATGCTCAAAAATGTTAGCAAGCATTCAACCACGCTCTAATCGATAAAAGAGACGTTTTTTTGTGGTTATTTTTTTTCTAAGTGACTTTCTCACCTCCTCATTTTACACTCATCCAGTTCGCACATGCAAACAACAAAACGCAAACATATCACAAACGACAATTTGAATTTGAAAACACAATCACAACTACCGACGAGACGAAATAAAAACAGATCCACAACACAGAATAAAGCAAAGAAGGAAAGTTGAAAGAGGGAACTGGAATGATAGTCACCCAACGATGCATTCCCTCCCCTTTTTCTTTGTTTTCCTTACCGATACACAGGATCACGGTTCGCCCAGCTATAGGTCTTCGATTTAATATCCGCAACCGCTTGTTGTTTGTTGTACTGCCGCCCTCGTATAATATACCCCGAAAGCCAATACTTCGATCGCACGCAATTTCGCGGGTGAATCCGCCAGTCTAGGGGTACCAAAAGGTTTGGCGAGCCCCCATTTCCACCCCCCGCAGGGTGGCTGGAGACGCGCTTCGACTTCGCGTGCACCTTCGGCCGATGCGGCATATTCGCCTCGACGTTTCGCTTGCCATAATTCCGTTGTTTGTTGTACATCACCCCCGCGCGACGGCCGAAAACGGCGTGGCAGCTGCTATCAAACAACCGCACCTCCTTGGAAGGGAGGAGCACCGGAACGAGGTTCGGTTCGGAGCCTCGGAGTACCACCGCGGCGGTTCCACTCGCGCGGCAGATCACTCCACCATGCCCAGGATACATCTCCAACGAGTGCAGCTCCTTCCCGTAAGTGACCTCGCCAAGCGAAACGGTCTGCCCGATCGTCGGAAGGCAGCCTTGAAACGGGCGGTTGTACGTAATCCGCGGGAGTTGTTTGTACGTCAGCAGCTCCGCGACATAGGCGCCGTTGGCGTAGAGGAAAAACCCCAAGAAGGTCTTTTGCCGTGGCAAATGCACGACACAGGCGAGCCATTTCGGGACCCGTTTCTGCGGTTTGTGGTTAATCATCACGCGATACCCCCACGCGCGTTGCTCGTCTCGGCGGTAATGCCCCATCACGACTTTACTCCCGGGGTTTGTTCCGCTCCGGTGGCCCCAATAATCCCGACTGGAGAAGCCCTGCCAGTCGTAATACAACGGGGTGTAGCTCATCATCCCGGCGCCGACCTGGAAGGGCGACCAAATATCCTTCTGCAAGAGTTGTTGGGAGAAGCCGTGATCGGGGGAGCGGATGTACTCCAGCCGGAGGGCAATCGGGGGGCCTTCTTTAAAGACGCCAAAGTCGTCGGTGTAGCCGTCGTACATCTCCGTGTGCTTTAACTGGACGTCCTTGCCCGCCTTGAGTTGAGGCTCCACCCCGTAATGTTGGCTGCCTTGTTTGCCAATGGGGTTGAGAAGTTTCACCCCACGACGGGGGATGGTGAGCGATGGGAGGGCGACGATGACGCCTAGAAGGCATCCGCCCACTAAGGAGGTGGACCACCGACGATACATCGCATGAAAGGGGGATTTTTGAGGACGGACAACTCCCTTTCCCGCCCTATTTTCGCGTTGAATCCGACCCTTTCGGCCTTGAATGTTCACACGGATTGTACCTGGAAGCAGAGAAGGGGGGGAGGGGGGGGGAGGGAAGAGCAAAAGAGGAAAAAAAGAAAAATAGTACACACTTTGCGGGTAATGGCTAAGACCACGTAAGCTTATCGCCAGCAAACAAGCACGGAATTAACAAATTAGGGCCTTTTTAATGACACGAGGCCATCATTACAGTGTCAAGGAAAGATAAGTCAACACTTTTCACAAAACATCTAGGATATTAATAAACTAATAACAACAGTAATAAATAATAACGATGACAAAAAAAATCATATATATTGTAGATATCCCTCCATCCGCATTAAGCAGAACTATAGAGCGATCACCGTGTAGATGGAAAAAAGAACAGTCAGCATAAAATGAATATGGATCATTTACGTTTTTATTTTTGGAACAATGCGCGTAAATTATTAGTGGAATACATATTTAAAATACAAAGGGGTATATGAAAAGGTTTGTAGGGAAAACACAATTGAGCTGAAAAAAAATTCATGATTTTTTTATTTTAAAAATTAAACGAACAGTTTACAACAGTTTTACTGTACAAAAGGAATCATTAGGTTCATTGTAGCTTCCTAATTATTCATTTCAGGTTTTTAAATAGGAAAACAGATTTATTGATTTTTTGATTTCAACAGAACCAAACACATCAACCTAGACTATACCCCTCTCTTTCTTACATTCAGACGTCAAATTTATAAATCGGAATCAATAAAAAATCACTAGAAACCAGGTACAAGCAGAAAACCAACATTTTATTACCCCCTACGTGCTTGAAGCCATTATGGAATACTTGTTGATAAATGAAGAAAACAAAAGCAAAATCTTTACATATTAAGGATAATTAAGGAAAAGTACGAAAAAAATATTTTCCTTATATATAAATAAATATATAAGTGTGTGTATTTTAACCAATCATAATATGAAACAAAAAAATGCCCTTCTTAAACTATACCCTATGCAAGACAGACCGTAGGAAAAGGACAAAAGAACTATATAAACCCATAAATGTCATACCCCATGCAATTACTATGGGTTCTTCTTTTCCACATTTTTTGTTTGCTATGGGGCTTTTCCGCTCCAAATCACTTAAGCAAAAGCAAATCCTAAAAGAAAAAGCATACCACACATTCACACACAATGAAGCCCCTTCCGACCGGTGGCTTCCTCTATTCCTCCCTAAGGCTTTCTTTTAGGTTTCAACACGCACATCAAATTCTCCTTTGAAGGGAACTTCCTTTCTCTCCTCATCACTGCCTTCTCCATACTCAAGCGAGAGACGCCATCTGAACGCATCCACGCGATTTCATTCCACCTCATTGCCTGTTTGCCTCTTCTGGTCGCCGCTACACGTACTCCTTGACGGACTCGGAGGTGTTTTTATCCGCCGTTAGAAGTTGAACGCAGCACGGCTCGCCGGGGAGCACCGGACGGATTTGCAACCTCTGCGGGCTGGATTCTCGAACAAAAGACGCGGCCAAGGAAGGAGGGGGGATCTCGCTGCGGCTGCCTGGGAAGGAATCAAAATGCATTATACGAGCCCGCCCTTCTTCGAGTGGATTGCGCGGATTCGGCGAGTTTGGATTACTGGCGTCGAAAGGAAAAGGCAAGGAAGACGTCCGTGAGTGATCCATGAATGAAACCAACGCGCCTTCTGCTTCCTTTAGCGCGGGAGCTGGAAGAAGGGCCATGATCTCCTCCTTGGATATCGCCTCCTCCGATAGAATCGCCCCCGGGAGATGATAAACCCCGGAGAGTGTTTCCACCGCACCCCTGGAAGGCAAAGGCTTACCGCCGGTACCGTTTTGGGGTTTACCTCTATGCGAACCCTTTTTATAACTATCGATAGACGAGAATCCGCATGAATAAAATGTGCTTTCTTCCTCAGTGATGTTATCATGAGGCACTGAAGTTTGGGTGGGATCCACATAAAGCTCATAGGACTTATCATAAACAGGAGCGCGGCATTGAAACAACTCACATTCACCGCCATCCCCATTGCGAGGGATTCCATCAGGCGAATTGATGGGCTTGGGCGAGCCTTCATCCGTGTGGACGGTGCTACTCTTTGTTTTGGAGACTTCGTTGCGGCGAATAAGTTCCATGTAGTTCCCAGCGGTAGGTTTATCCTTCAAAAGTTGTTCGATTTCCTCATCCCACATCACTTTTTTCCTGGTTCCAGTGCCGCTCGCCTCATGTTGAGGTTTTGTTGCATCTTTTAGGGCAGAATTCGCTCGGTTTTCGATTGCTTTGGGGCGAGACGAACGTAACGAGGGAGGCTTTTGTCGCCACGGTTTGTCGTCCGAGTGGTTCGTTTGACGAGGCGCGACAGAGGAGGCTTCCCTGCTCGCAGGAGCCTGGGAACCACCGCTCCGTAAGGTAGTAATGGTCTTCCGCTTTTGTTGAGCAATCGAAGACCTGCCCGAGGTTGACTCGACCGACCGCTTATTTTCTGCTGGAAGGCAATTTGAATCGCGTGTGTTGACGATGGAAACAGAAACTACTATTTTCCCACTTTTACGACTCGATCTTACAACGGTGTTCAGTACATTCCTACAGATTCGGTTGTTCAAGGGCATATAAGCGTTTCCATTTGCTGAAGAAGCGATTTTTTGAGAAAGAACCTCAGCCTCGGTTAATGCAGTATCCGTGATCTCTAAAATCATCTCGCCGAGCGCACGCACACGATCCCTCAAAGTGTTTAATATCAACATATTAGGTCCTAAAGCACTATGCGCCTTCTTAGAGCTAGATCTGGCATTGTAACTCTGCATCATTGTCGTTCACTTAATACTATTGTTATTTATCTGAACGATCTTCTCCGTCAGCTTTTTAGATAAAGTAAAATAGGCAAATTTCTAGTTAAATCTGACTAGTATGAATAAAAGCAGGGACATAATAGACACCATTAGATTGTTCTTTTCACTCACAAAAAGTATTTCATAAGCTTACTCATCCACACAAATACAAACACATGCTGTCTAAAATTCGAACAGAAACGAAAGAGAAACGGCAAGTTTCCTATAAGTCTCGTTTGCGAGGAAATATGGATGATAAGAGACGTCTTGAATGAAGAAAATTACATAAATATGATAACTGTTTATTTTTATTTTCTTCGATCAACAAGGGGCTAGACTACTAGACAAAATTCATTGTAAAAACTGACGATCTCGTTCTATAGGTAATGTACAAAACCAAAAGAAGGAAGGGATAAAACTAAAATAACTTCAGCAACACCAGGAAGGAGGCGTGATCGGTATGGGAAAATCTTATAGAAGGATGTCCATACTGCCACAGACGCCGAAGTGCTCAACGGATGGAAAAAAATAATGACAAGAAATCTACATCATTAAGAGCCACTTTCATAGATCTTCCGAATATTTTCTACAGCCATTTTATTTTGCTCGTGTATGAGCAGCATGTTCATCAGTTTATACTCCCGCGGAGAAACTTTTGAAGACGATACCGAGCCCTCACAGGCATCCGCTTCGTTTTTGGCCCTTTCATGGGCCTCAGCGTCCAGCCGCACCTGCAGTTGTCGCTGCCGCTGACGTTTTTGCTCCTCGATTTCCCGTGCGTAGACTAACGCCTTTTGGCGACGCTCCCGCGCCAAAAGGATTTGCTGCGATGGTGGCGGCGGCGGCGGCGCGGTCACTTTCGCGTTATTCTTCGCGTTGCTACCGCCTTCCCGCATGGCTTGCAACTCGATCTGGAGACCGTACGCGCGCTCACGTTCTTTCCGCGCCCGCGCCTCGCGCTGCGCGTCGGTATCAGAGGGCCCCAACCCGCGGCCACCCTTCCCCATCGCCCCCCACTGCAATACCATACGGCGGTAGGAGTTCAGGGAGTGCGGAGTGTAGCCGCAGACACGCCGAGCCGCAGATGACGACGACGACAACGGCGAGGAAAGTGGTTTTGGCTCGAGTTTGTCACCGTCATAGGGGACTCTCGCGGTGCCGGAGGCCGCCGAGGCGGCGCGCT